CACCGCATCACCCTCCGTGCAGCGAACCTGCCTCCCTGCCCCTTCCCAGCTCTGCCACCTTCATCGGTGGCACGACGGCTCTTGGAGGGGGGGGGATGTGGGGGGCAAATGGTTGATTTTCCTGATGGCTGCTGCTCTTCACAGTTGTTCAACTCCAGCTGCGGGGCCCAAACCCGCCTTCCCTCGCTCCGCTCCCTGGCGTTTCTCCCTGCTGGCCTCCTAGCGCCATTTTCCTTGCTGGAGGAGCCTGGGGTTTTTTTGGCTGTGGTGTGAGAGCCAGGGGGGGCCCTGAGCTGGTTTCCAGCCCAACTTTGAAGGGTCCTCCCCTCTGCCCCCTCCACCGCCTTCTTTCTCTCCCCGCCTTTCCACTGGGAGCCCTGCAGGCAGGGTCCTGCTGGTACCAGCTCGTGGTCCCTTCTGTGGACCCTTGTGGTCCCTCCTGTGTCACCGTGCACCATCCGTAGAGTTTTCTGCTGCCAAAATCAAGAGCAATCTTATTCGAGCACCTGGGGACGGAGGGGAGGAGGAGGAGGATGCCTCCGAGGGAGTGATATTTATAGCGCTGCTGCTCTTCCTATGTCTGGAGCGGGTGGCTGCCAGGAACGTCCAATTTACAGCTGATAAGCACGAAAAGCAGCACTTATTTAGCTGATTAGCGCCGTAATTGCTGATTGCCTTGGCAGCCTTTTCCTGAGGGTGAGTGCCTGCTTTACTTGGGCTCCGATTTGGTGCCACCACCGAGCCCCGTGGACCTGCTGGAGCATTCAACGTGCTGGCACAGGCAACTGGGATGTGCGAGCCTGCCCTGTGCTCCCCTCTCCAGTTGTTGGAGTTTTCTGTGCTGCTGCAAGCTACCTATCCTTCTCCTCGTTCCTCCTGCTCAGCAGGACCATGTCCTACAGCACTGGGAGGAACGGGCTGCCATCACGGCCACTGTTAAGAAAAAAACCCCAAAACCAAAACCCATCTCAGACACCAGCAACGTGGCCAAAAAGGTCCAGTTGATTAGCGCCGTAATTGCTGATTGCCTTGGCAGCCTTTTCCTGAGGGTGAGTGCCTGCTTTACTTGGGCTCCGATTTGGTGCCACCACCGAGCCCCGTGGACCTGCTGGAGCATTCAACGTCCTGGCACCGGCAACTGGGATGTGCTCCCCTCTCCAGTTGTTGGAGTTTTCTGTGCTGCTGCAAGCTACCTATCCTTCTCCTCGTTCCTCCTGCTCAGCAGGACCATGTCCTACAGCACTGGGAGGAACGGGCTGCCATCACGGCCACTGTTAAGAAAAAAACCCCAAAACCAAAACCCATCTCAGACACCAGCAACGTGGCCAAAAAGGTCCAGTTCGATGTCTGGATTTTATGGGGTAAGTTTTGGGGGTTGCGGGGCAGCATCTCCCTTTGCCTGTGGATGCTGTCTGGAGGGTGCTGGGGAAAGATGTAGGAATTGTGGGGTCCCCGTGCCTCACGCGGGGTCCTTTCTTGTGATCCTCCTTTGCCACGTCGGAGTCCCAGGAGTGCTGGTCCCCGTTCCTCCATTTCCGTTGCTCGGCGGAGCTGTGATCTTTCTGGCAATGACACCGCAGCGTGCCAGATGTGTGCTGGCTTCTGCTGGAACATGTGGTTGAAATGCTAGCG